TCACAGCACTCCGCCTGTGATTTCCGAGGTTAGCCCCGTAATACCCCAAGGTGCTGCTTTGCAGTTACGTAACCGCTAAGGGCACTGTGATCGGGCGTCTCTGGCACGGTGCTGTGCTCAGATGGGACTTGCATTTGCATTTTACACCCCGTCCGGCAGAAGGCCTTGTTCGCCGCTGATTTACATGCCGCACCGTAACGCGACGGCACACTGGCCAATGCAGAATAGCTGTTAGCAGTCAGCGGGTTAGGAAGCAGAGCTGAATGCCCTTAAATGGTGGCTCAGTCGAGCGGCTATAGGAGTAACACATGCAGCCCTATTGGATGATAGGTCTTTGGGTGGCGTTCTGTTCAGCCATGATGTCCTATCAGCTGCATCAGAGCAGACATCAGTGAATGACCCCCCCACACCCCCACCCCCACACAGAGCTGAACAATCGCCCCCGTCCCCGATCTGTGCACATGTTCATACAGCCGTCCAGCCTACGTGCAGCCTGGATGTTTGTGAAGAAAGAATACATTAACAATACACACTCAATGCAGTGTGAAGATGATAGTATCACCGAGGACAGCCGACTCATTACTGGGGGGAGGCAGGGAGAGTCAGTCTTGTTCTGTCGCGCCGTTTAACGTCGGATTGCTGCTCATTCACTTTAAACTGCTAGGAGGCCAAGAGACATTTAAAGGACTCTGAGGTGTAGGGTTTCTGTGGGGGGTTGGTGGGGTGGGAGTGGGGGGGGGGAATCAGCATGCATGTTTACCACTGAGTTCAGGAGCCGTGGTGGCTGCAGGAGCAAAGCCACGTACAGGAGACCGGAAAAGGGAGCATGGTGCTGGGGGTGTGGGGGAGTGGGAGAAAATGAAAAAAAAAAGAAATGGCAAACAGGAAGGGAGGAAGAAACATGATATAGAGATAGGGATGGAGGGAGACAGAGTGACGGAAAGAGTGAGGGAAAAAAGGGGGGTGGCGGGGGGGGACAGCCTGGAATAGCCAGCAACTGGAGCCCGCATGCTCCTCCTCCTCTACACCTCCCCTCCCCATGCTCTCTCCCTCTCGCTCGCTCATTCTCCCCGCCGCTCTCCTAGCCGTTATTTGACCAGAGGGAAGCACAGCGAACGGGAGCAGAGCTCAGTCTCCCCAACTGCCCCTCGTCTGGCCCGCCGCTCTCCTGGCGTTTCCGCATCACGCCCGCCTCCTCCTCTCCCCCCCCCCCCCCCCCGGAGGAGCACGCTCCTCGACCCCGCTATCGCCTGACTTTGTCCGGTCTTCGTCTCTTCCACCCGCCTCTCTGGGATATATATCGCCGGGACGTGGGACGGCGAGCGCCCGCGTGAGCGTGAGAGTGAGCGTGAGAGTGAGAGTGCACGCTCGCCCAGTGCCATGCGCCCCGCTGGCCACCTTGTGACTCACGCCAGGGATACAGCATGAGGGGAGGCCATCACCCGCGGGGCTGCGCCTGCCACCATCTCTTCCGGAAAGTGCTGCTGAAGTGTGGCTGCTGCTACGCCAGGGTCAGAGGTCAGTGCTTTGCTTTCATTTTCACCTTTAACCTTTCACGTTCATCCTCTCTCCCTCTATCTCTGTGCCTGCTTGTGGCTGCTCTCCCGTTCCCTGCCTCCTTCTATGTGCTCTGTCTACCCCTGTACAAGTGGTGCCCCCTTGCCCGGGCGGCCACTCGTACCCGTGCACCCTGCCTCTGCATTCCCCCTGCCGCGTGGTGCCCTGTTTCGGGTTTCAGTTCCCGGTCTCCTCCTCCTCCTCCTCGAAAGTCCTCTCCGCTTAGGAGCAACAGATGTTCTTTTCTGCATCCCCGCTCTTATTTCCACTTAACGCACTTTTTATTTTTTGTACCAGACGTGGGGGGGAAGCTATTTCAGGCCTCGCTCTCCTTAAAAACAAATACTGAGAAAATACTGCCAGTTCTGGCTGGGGCCTCGTGCATGTAGCGGGACCTCTCACACACACATCTGGAAGCTCGCCTTCGTGTGTGTGCCGGCCCGTGGATTGTGGGGACACTAAACCCTGACTCACACATAAAATTCCTCTCCCCAAACAGCCTGCCTTACAGAATCCCACCCCCCCCCAGAGCCCATCTTGTGCTTTTAGTCGCCTAGACAAATTGTAGTGATGAGACACAGCAGGAACGATGTAATGAGTGGTATGTATACAAAACAATGACAACAGATAGATAGATGGTCATTTTAACAACAACTATCTCCACAGGCATGGGGATATCTCGAGCCTGGACCTAGTTCTCTAGTTGCACACACTCAAGCACCTCTGGATTTCCCTGGGAGATGGATCCTGGCCTGGATTAGCATGCTGGCAAACACCAAACAGCTTTGACAGACTTAAAAAACAGCCTGATGCTGATGTTGCTGCATCAGCCTGTTTGCTACTCAATCAATGTCCAGCCAAATCACTACCTTCACGTTCAATTCACGGCCAAATACAACTGTTTATATGATCAGAAATCTAATGATGATCCTGTGCCTTTTCCAGACTTTTTTATTTGCTCATATTCACTGTTTTCTCCAAAACCTTAAAAACGCCAGGGTACTGTCACTCTTTGACAAGCGAGCGATGCTTTCAATACGGCGCCGTCCGTATTTCTGAAACACGAAACACATCGTGGTCTGTTTGTTCTCCTCTCCGGGCGCCGTGCCCACAAACAAACAAACACGGCTGGGCTCAGAACAGCACCGACAAGCATTTTTTCCCGAGCTTCAATTTTAGCTTTAAACAGTTTATCCTCTTTTCCGAAATCCCCTTTCTGCGACTACAGCATGTTTTATGCAGAGATGAGTAGGATCAATACACACACTGTCGTTCCTAGGCGTATGCAAAGCACTGTATCGTGGGTCTCGCCTGCGATTGAGTCACACGACGCACCTCAGCTCCGCTGACCGAGGCCCGTAGAGGTCCTTCCCGTTAGCCGAGAGAGCCCCTCATTTCCCTCCCCAGGATGGCGCTGCTCAGGGTCTGTTCTGCTCAAGTGCATCTTTCTGGAAGCTCTCCGGCTGCATGGGCCTGCAACCTCAGCCCGGTTCTGCTTTGCTGATTGCTTTTGTAATTTGCTGTTTTGCGGTTTCAGCGTAGCATGTTTTACACGAGATTCATGTAGTCGAAACAAAATAAAGCGTGCCTTTAATACGGCATGCACATTCCTTTTCCTGGGTTCATTCTGGACGGGTTGAAAGTCTTGGGACTCTGGGTCTGTGTTTCTGATATCCTAACAAGAAAAAGCTCATTCATGTGGCCGGCTGACCATTAATGAGAGGCTAACCAGCCATTCAGCAGGGTTGAGATTTTCACCCCATCACTCTTTGTTGCTCCCCTGTGCTTATTTGATATTTGTGTCCCTTTACCCCGTTTCTGTCTGCCAAGGCTCAGCTCTTTCCACAGAAGACGTGAGAGAAACAAGCTCTGGATTGTCTGACTCTTCTTTCCTCCAGGCTACCGTATAGTCAAATAGCTGATCCAGCGCTAATGCAATCTGTTCATTCACTTGCCCGGAATCATGCCGGCAGTGAACTCTGTAAGCTGCTTGTGTGTTTATGTGAGGCGAGGCAGGCAGGAGGCAGGCAGGAGGCAGGCTGCCCTGTCTCTCAGGGATGGTGATGTTTAACTGAGTCCTGCTGGGCCACAGCGTGTCGAGCTGCTGTTTGTCCTCAGCGGTCTGCAGTCATCGACTCGGTCTCCCCTCTGACTTAAAGGCAGGCGAGGATTTCATGCATGGGGCCTAGTACACAAGCAGGCACAGACACAGCACTGTACTTTAATTCACCTCAATGCAAGCACTATATAGTACAGGGTGATAGATTTTTTCCTCAAACCAGTGGAAAGCAAAAAAAAAAAAGAAAAGAAAAGCTTACAGGTCAAATCATTTTCATTTTCGCATCTTCAAACTGTTGCTAAATAATGTCTGCACTTTATTTCCAAGTACGCAAAAGCATATCCCTCAGCAACAGTGCAGATATGCTGATGCAAATGCTTCGTAAATCTGGGCTTCGGTATAAAAGTGTAAGAAATATGTATGAGGGCATCTGCCTGGAGAATCAGTAATGCTAATTAAAATGAGCGGCCCGTAAATGGTACGGGGCTTCGTCACAGCATCACCATTTCGATATGCTAATGTCCTTATTTGTTGTAGGACTCGCGCCTGGCACCTGTGCTTCTGCAGTGCTCCGGCGGCAAAGATGAGCCGCAGTCTGTGTGTCCATGCAGCCTGAGACCCCCGCCCCTCCCCGGCCCCCCCGCGCAGAGTAAACAAACATCCCACTCACTTTCGATCGCTTCCCAGCAGCAAATTTAGTCAGTTCTTCCTCTGTTTCCAGTGCAGGGTGTCAGAATAAAAAGGTGTTAAGAAGTGATGTGATGTGGTCTGAAAAGCAGTTACAGTAACACAGTTCAGATACAGTTACAGGAAACAGTGAAGCTTTCAAATGGCTACAGTATAGCTTTCAAATGGCTGCAGTGTAGCTTTCAAATGGCTACAGTGCACTGATAGAGTGCAACCTCATTATTTCTCTACTTAAGCAGATGCAAGACCTTGCATTAATCTCAGACGACAAAACCAGTAGCAAGCTGACGCAAACAACATATTCTGTCAGGATATTCTGTTTTAATGATGTTGTAATATATCACAACACATCCATATAAAGCACCTTGGAGCGTTTCTGTTGTGAAAGGCGCTATATAAAAATAAATTGAATAGAATTTAACAGCAATGTTTCCCTGCTGTGCTTCCGAACTCAATATTTAGCTCCGAGCACTGAGCTGAGATGGCCTTCCTGTCATTATTAAAGGCTTTGTGGCATGCATCATCCGGAGGGGGGGGGGGATTATATTGATACTCAGCATTGCCTGTGTAAGCATCTAATCCAGCTGTGATCACACGAGTTGATGTTCTCATGATGGCTGTGGGTTAGATGAAAATGCATTTAGGCTAAGGAGCTGCCTTTCTGCTGCATGGACAGCCCTTCCCCATAACTACATTCTCCTGGGTTGAGCTTCATCCTACTCATTCAGCTCACTTCCGGTTCCCTCATACGTGCCTCTACGTCGCATGCATGTGACGTATTAAAGGCGTGTGATGAGAGCAGCGATTGGCTGATTCATTTTCTTAAAGAAACACCACTCCAGTGGGACAAGACTTGGCTGGCAATGTCCCTTATCTGAGTGACAGTGTGTTGGGGGGGACATTTTTTGGACTCACTGAGTGTTTGTTCTTGAAACCTGTAAACAGCAAAAATGGGAGGAAATATGGGCAAACGGCAATATCCTCAGCGCATTTCTCTGCTAACTGAAGGCACACCTCCACGAGCATCGCACCTGCCTGATGGGAGATGAGAGCAGGCCAGGGAGGGGCTAGCTAGATGAAAGCCATCTTGATTGCTGGTGCTATGGTTGTGAGGGAGGAGAGAGCACAGAAATGGACTGGATGTGCTGTTTGGGCAGCCGCGATGGTGCGTCAATTAGGACACCGCCTCTGTGTGTGGGTGGTGCGGTGGGGGCCAGGTTACTGCTGCAGGATTCCCTCTCCTCACCGAAACCAGCCCCCCATTCCCCGTTAAGCTGATGCTGGACTGAAGCCTCTTCAGAAAATTGCACTTCATGTATTGGAGTGTTTGGGCAGGAAGTCTTATCTTGGCATTGCAGATTACGGGCACAGGAGGTAAAATCCGTTTGGGAGACCCAGCCCTGCGTGTAAAGTGCGGGTGATGATCCTCTGTAGCCTTGGAAGGATACATCAGCACATGTACATCTGTGATTCCCTCTTAGAGAGGCTTTGAGGCTAAAGGGTCACGCCAGTGCACGTGCGTCAATATTTCTAGGTAAACATCGTGAGAGCTGAAGGAAAATCTCTGATTACGAGATGATAATATTGCTGTACTGAAGAGTGAGGGGAGTGGACATTCAGGAGGTGCCCTAAGGAGAGACACTGCTCCTCTGTATCAAAAAGAGCCAGCTGAAGAAGTTTGGGCATCTGTCTCAGACGCATCCTATATGCCTCTCTGGGAAGGTGCTCTGGGCATTATCTCTTCGCTGGCCTGGGATTGCCTGGGAATCCCCTCCGGAGGAGCAGGAAGTGGCTGGGGAGAGGGAGGTCTGGGCATCCCTGCTTAGACTGCGGCCCAGGCAACTCGGACCCAGAAAAGTGGCAGATATTGAATGGATGGATGGATGGATGGATGTTTAATCTGGATCATTCATGCTGACTGCTCAGGTGACTGAGTGATTCGTCTAAATTTGGACCAAGGAGTGAAAAAAGAGGAACTTTTCAGCCATGATTTTTAGAAGTGAGTCACCAAACCACACAATGCCCAGCAAACAGGAAGCTGCAACCGTCACAGTAACGACGTATTGTACACGTTGTTGCAGATTGGCGAGGTCCCGTGTTTCACCTGTCAGCTACACATTAACGTCTGCGAGGTGCGTGTTGTGTCTCATGCCTCCTGTCAGCAGTGATTACTGCAGGATTGAACGCTTCATGTACCGAAACACGCAGACAGTGA